TCCTTTAGTTCCTAGAGGAACATAGGGCTTCAGCTGCGCACCTCCATTGACTTCGGTTTTCTGACAACTTTTTCACCCTGCTCCAGGTCTGTCCACATGCTTTCATCTCCTCCTCGCATGACCTCCTCCAAGTCACCCTTGGACGACCAACTCGCCGCCTCCCTTTCGGGTTCCACTCGAGGGCTTGTCTAGTGATGTCACTTGATGGTTTCCTCAGCGTATGGCCAATCCATCTCCATTTCTTTCTGCCTATTTGTTTCACAATCGGTTCCTGATTGGTTCGCTCCCAGAGATCCCTGTTGCTGATCTTTTCTGGCCATCTGATCTTGAGTATTGAGCGGAGACAGTTGTTAATGAAGGTTTGAAGTTTGTTTGAGATGCTCTTTATGACTCGCCAAGTCTCCGATCCGTATAGTAGCACTGTTTTATCTATGTTCACTTGAAGTCCTATCTTTGATGCTTCTTCTGCCAACTTGTTACTTTTCACTTGCATATCTTCCAGTTTATGGGAAATCAGACATATATCATCGGCGAAATCCAGATCCTCCAAGTCTTTTGTGTCAGTCCATTTTATGCCTGTTCCCTCGTTGGTTGCCGTTGTCTGTCGCATTATCCAATCAATTGCAATCAGGAAGATCATTGGTGATAGTAGACAGCCTTGCCTCACTCCCGTCCTCACTTCGAAGGCTTCCGTAAGTTTCCCGTTGTGGATTACTTGGCATGCAGCATTGTCGTATAACTGTTGGATGAGGTGTATAATTGTCGATGGGACCCCGTAGTAGCGAAGTAGTTTCCAAATGACCTCTCGATCGACGCTGTCGAAGGCCTTTTCAAAGTCGATGAAGTTGAGATAGAGAGGTGACTGCCATTCCAAGCTTTGTTCAATGATGATCCGTAGAGTGGCGATTTGATCAATACATGATTTGTTTCTCCTGAATCCAGCCTGTTCCGGACGAAGTTTTTCATCTAGGGCTTGTTTGATTCTCTCCAGGATGATGCGACTTAGTATCTTGCTTGGAATGGACAGAAGCATAATTCCACGCCAGTTTTTACATTGACTTAAGTCTCCTTTCTTTGGAAGTTTGAATAAGTAACTGTTCTTCCAATCCTCGGGTACTTTGCCCTCTTTCCACACCTTCTCCAGTAGTGGTGTCATCAAGTCCGCTGTTGTCTCTGGGTCTATTTTCAAAGCCTCTGCTGGGATTCCATCTGGTCCCGGTGTTTTCCCAGCTTTAAGCATCTTGATTGCATTCAGGACTTCTGATTTCGTCGGGGGGTCAGTGTTCACTGGTAGTTCTGCTTCCGTTGTTGGTATTGCTGGACGTGTTGTAGGTGGCGGACGATTTAGAAGTCTTTTGAAGTGTTCAACCCAGTGCTTTCTCTGTTCCACCTCTTTGGTGATTGACTTTCCATTGTCGTCCTTTATTGGCTTAATCTGTGTCGAACGTTTGCCCGAAAGGTTCCTAGTTGTTTGGTAGAGTGTGGCGAGGTCTCCTTTGCCTGCAGCTTGTTCTGCTTCGTTTGCCATGGTTTCATAATATTTTCTTTTGTCTTCCCTGGCACTTTTCTTCACTCTTTTGTTCAGTGTATTGTAGCTTGCATTCAGCTCCTGTTTTTGTTGCTCGTCAGTGCACTGGATAATCTTTTGCTTCACTGTCCTTCTCTCTTCTATTAGTTTCCAAGTGTCCGTAGTGAGCCACTGTTTGTCCTGTCTCTTTTTTCTGCCTAGAATTTCTATGCAGGTTTGGCTCCACACCGTTTTCAAGTTGTTCCAGTGCTTTTCAACGCCGACCTTTCGCTAGTGTTGATTTGTGTCTCGCTTTGTCCTTTATGCTTGCAATGAAGATGTCCTTTGTAGCCTGGTCCTTCAGCTTTTGAGTGTTGAACTTGGCTTGTGGTCTATCTGCAGCTCCTGATTCCCTGAAAGCTTTTAATTTGATTTGGATTGTCCCTTGTACGAGATAGTGGTCTGAGCCAACGTCTGCTCCTCTTCTTGCTTTTGTGTCCAGTAGGCTGCGCCTCCACTTCCTTGAGATTGAGATGAAGTCGATTTGGTTTTTGGTTTGCCCGTCTGGTGACACCCATGTAGCCTTGTGGATATCTTTGTGCTTGTATACACTGCCACCAATCACCAGTTCGTTGAAGGCGCAGAAGTCGGCGAAGAGTTCTCCGTTTTCATTCAAAAATCTAGATTAGTTGACCCCAATAATGAGGTAAGCAATCTGGAGAATAGTTCAGCTATATCACTCACTACATGCAATTACACACATCCAACCATACAATAGGATGGGTGAGATAAGATGACAGTTTTGAAAGCCAGTGTAATAGGGTGGAGGGAGAGATTGATAACAGAAGCTTTGTTTATCGAATCAACTGCAAAAACGTGTAATAAGGAATCATTCAACACCTGTTTACCTCGACATTTAGAAAATTCTACTACCCCTACGACGACGAATAGGAGAGAACAAAGAAAGCTATAAAACTCGAGTTTTCAAGTCGTGTGATTATAACTGATTGAATGATTATGAACGGTAATAAATTTTGTTTGAAACGTCATCCAGTAAATAGTACGGTTTCACTGTGTGATGTATCTAATAAATAAACTAAAATGGAATTACAAGTTAAGTGAATTTTGATTTACACTACCTGAAACCAGTACAATGAAGACAAAGGCTTCGTGACGGGTATTTGAAGTAAGAGTTAACGGTTGCGGACTTGACGTACGTATTCTGGAACAGTGCCCAGCTTGGTTAGCCAGCCAGAGGAGAAAAGAAGAATAGCAACAGCTGTATCCTTGAACACCCTTGTAATCTCCAGACATCGAGCACCCACACAGGAATGCTTCGCAGTGTTACACAGAGTGCCTCAATATTGTACAAGGGGACTTCGGACATACCATATGTACATAGCTGAAGCAATAGCTATTCGAGATCTGAAACCAGACCTCTGCATTCAAAAGCGATACATACATTCTCTTACCCTACCATGGCCAGAGTAAAGTTCTTATTACAATTTTGCTTCTTTCCTTTATTATGTAAGTTCACTATTATTATTATTATTATTACTGTTCTTAATACTTTTATTATTATTACTATTCCCACCATCCATATTTTATTACTACTCTATTACTGTTCATTAATAACATTGCTTTTTCATACAGATTTTACACAAAAACACTCTATAGCCTTTCCGCTAGTTCCTGTCCATTCTACACGAGCTTATTGATTAGTCACACTTAATACGTCATGCCAACTTCTGTCTCCTTTCTAACTTACAATTAGTCATCCCTTCTTACACCTTACATTATGTAATACAATTTTCAAGGACAAAGTTTACCAGTATCTGATTTGTCTAAAGATTTCTTTGTTAATTATAATTACGATTGCACATCAGCTCATGAAAATGAATCGTAGGAAAGAAAACTTTTGTCGTTTGTTTGTACCTTTTTCTTATGACTCAATATGGGAATATTTCGTTTATTGACACTTGTTAGAAAGCGTATCTGCAAACTCGAAGGGATGGATACTCTGTCGGAGCTTTGTATCCGTATTATCATCAAGTTCTGCAGTCAGAAATGTTATCATTGGGTTATTTGATTTCACGACTGGTCTTCTGTAGGTCTGTAAGTGATTCTTCACTAGAGAGAAACTAATGTCATATGTCTTGACTTTAGAGTTTATGTTGACTGGAGTTTACCAGGCATTTTTTGTAATATGGGCATCCAGTTGGTTGAGCTTCAGCGACTCAGTAGTAACATTTCTGGCTGCAACATCGATTGATACAGATTTAAATCTCCGATAGGGCATGATCACCTTCGAGATCTTAGGTATACTTTGCTGACCAGTATCAGTAAGCAGACAGCACAGGTACAAGTCATCTTAACGACTGCCTCTATCACCAAGTTTATTGACCACATGGCAGGCTTATTTGATGGGATTTACATTCAAGTGTTGGTTTGCAGGGATTTGAACTGACATCAGTTAGAGTACCACTGAAAAACCCAGGAGTACTGGATAGCTGTCTCGTCAGCCTAGTTTGAGTCTCTTCATCAGTACGCAGCCACCAGCAAAGTTCTAACCCGAGGTCTTCTGCTTACAAGGTGAGCTCTCAGATCATTAGGTCACTTAGACAAGCCAGTCAGTGCATGAATTCTAACTTCTGCCAATTGAAAACATAGTGTGCGACTGGCACCAACCAATGTCATCGCTGGCGAGTATTTGTCCTCACAACCGACCTGCTGTATCCACCCCAACTGTTCACGACTTCCCTTTAGAACCCAGGTAACTAATTACCTGAATAAGACCAGTCATTGGTGAACATCAGATTGATATTCAAGTACTGGTTTGATAGGATCCAGGCAAGACAACCAGTGTGTTGAGAACTGTCTGCCAGCCAAAATTGGTAGACAGCAATTTACGTCAATGTTTACGTCCCAAATCTTGGCCATGAGAAGGAAAACAAGAACGAAGACTAACTCAACAACCAATCATAACAGACATAGCGTGGGCGGATACGATTGGCAGGTAACAAAGAAATGACAGAATAACCTTGAAAAAGAAAACAACCAATCAGAAGACGTTACCTCACTGCTAACAATAACAAATAATAAAGTGAATACAAATTTATAAATATCTATTGATTTTCTCAATAAGCGATCTGTTGCCTGTTACTTGTCTTCTGTTGTTACATCAGAACTAATGGCTATGGCAATCTGGACTGTCAAAAGTACTGATTAGTGGAAAGCCGATTTAATCAAACTGCAAACGACTGGGAGTATGAAAGGGGTGTATATCATCAAATTTTTTAGACTTTTATTTCCAGAAAGTAATTTGTTGTTCTCGATAAACTGTACTTTCCCAGAAAGGAAAACATACATTATATAAAATTCACAGAAAAAATAAATAATGCTACAGTAAGTAGTATCAGTGTTTCACACAAGTCTTAGAACAATCAAAAACTTAATCTCATCAACTAATCCACCGCAATTAGTAATCGATTTGAAAATAAAATGAAAATTATCATATCAGACAGATAACCTCCAACGAGGAGTAGTCTCTATGCAATACTTGTTGAACAGACTTCTTTACTGCAACATTTCAACATTCCTTCTTCTTCTTCTCCGCCTACTTCACTTTCTTCACCAGTTGTCCCGATCTTGACAGACATACATGTTTCAGAGGTAATAATAGGTTTATCAGAGTGTAATCTAATCTTGTTTTCAATCACTCGGCTTACAGAATCACCTAAATGCTTTGATATGCCTGTCATCGGTGTATTATGCTTTGTAGAAACATCAGAATTAGAGGCAAGCGTTGGCTGACTTGTGTCTGTATCCTCAGGTGTAGAATCATCAATTCTACCATCATCCCTGAATTGTATTCTCTTCATTTTGTCAATCTCTCGTTTAAGTGCTACACTGTGTAGACGACTATTTGTTGTAATTCTACCTAAAACAAACTGGAGAACTGAGAAATTCTTCATTTTATCTCTCCTATTCAGTGGATAAGGAGTAGTAATCGATGATTTTCGATACAGTTGGCGCTTAATTAAATAATTCGATGGTTTCAATGATTTTTGTTTATCTGTAGGCATAAATATGTCCAATTTAGGTGTAATATTAGCATTTATCGATGCAATAAGGTTATTTTTGGTTAAGTGACCTCTAGAATTACCCGCCTGAATACGATTTTGAGTCTTTTGTAATTTGATCAGCTGTATATTGCTTATTTGAATTGTTTTACCGCTATTAGTCATAATAATATTGATTTGTCTATTGATTGATTGATTCTGTCTTAGAGGTTTGTTTAATTTTGAAAAGGGTTGTACTTTATTTCGTGATAATTTATTCTGTTTTATTGTGTTCACTTTATCCAAACTTTGACTGTGATGGCGTTTTACGTTTGATGATTTAAGGTCTTTTGATTGATTAGTCATTGGAACTGAACATGGTCGAGGTCTTGACACTTGATACAATTTTGAATTAGGCGAGTAAATATTGGCATATTTGGTTTTTTGTAACGACTGTACAGATGAATGTCTCTTCAGCATTTTGATATGATTTGTTCTAGAAGATTTACTGGCAAGTTGGCGTTGTTGCTCTGGCTGTTGTTGTTGTTGTTGGTAACGTTGTCGTGGCTTCATTGGAGTAAAAGTTCGTCTTATGCCTACTCTGGACTTTTCCACCGACTTTTCTAGAAACAGATGAGAATGTTTCATAAGAGGTTTTTGTGGACAATATCGAAATCCTTCTGTCTTCTTCTTCTTCTTCGTTGTCGTCTTTGTCTCCTCCTGGTCCTTATCCATCTTTATTTGTTTATCTTTTGTCGATGTTATACGCCGGTTAGATTTGAATTCGTTTGTATCACCAGTAGATACACTGGAAACAGTATTGTGTGCTGTATTCACGCCTTGATACTTTTTCTGCGAACTGATTGACTTAAGACCATATCGGTTATTGATTTTTGTTGTTGTAGACGAATTATCACCTGACATAGGCGATAATTTTGTCAGTGATCGTTTTGAAGATCTCGTTGACACTGTTGTTGCTGTTGTTGTTGTTGTTGCCGATGAACGAGAAGATGAAGTATCCAGTGGAGTTATTTGACACAACCGCTTCTCTACTACTGCATATGTACTAAGTCTATAGAAATTTTTGCGTTTATTAAATCCTTGTACAGTGAATAGACAAGTGTTTGTAATTTTGTATGTATCTTTGCTAGGCGATGATAGTGATTTCAATTGGAAATTATTACTTGGAGGTATTCGATAGATTGAACTATCGTTAAATAAATTCTCTGTTAAAATAGCCCCATAATTCAGATGTAATTTATCCCACTTATTAATGCTATAAATTAAACACTTCATATTGACTAGCGAATACCTCAGGTTAGAAACCATCAGCGTCAATCCGATTTCATAAACTAGGTGACTAGCTGTCTCAACTGTTTCTGGTAGCTTCTCTTCATTTAATTCATACTTCTCATAGAGATCTGGTGAAGTAATGATCAGCTCACTATACTGTGATAGATGTTCCGGCAGTAATTCTCGATTACTTATCATACTACTACTCACAACAAAGCTACTGCTCTCTTCAGTAGTATCATGACTGCCGAATTCACTTGATTTATCCACATCTTCTTCGAGTACTTCAGTACTTTTTATAATTTTATGCAGTTGAATTTCACTGCTAGTCTTCTGCAACTTTTTATGCTTATAACTGCCTACATTGCCAATTCTTCTATTTTCTGAACATGAACGATACAGTTGAGCAGGTTTAAAAGTGTCGACTCGTTTTGAATATGTTGATATACAACGTCGTAATAGAAAGGATTTCATAAATTTTACAAGTGTATTCAAGCTGAATTCTTTATAGTTATGGGATTGACTTGTAAATTTAAAGATGTCTGGATGTAGTGTCGCTTGAACACCAGGAGTTTTTTTCCTTTTCAGTGACGATGATGATGGTATTTTCATCGAAAGTGCATTTTTTAAATGTTCATTCAAGATGATAACATTTTTATGATCTTTTGAATTCATCTCAGTTAAAGATGTTACTGGTAATGGCGTAGTGTGGAGAGATATTGGCATGAATTTCAACTGACTTAATGATGATGATAGTGACATGCATTTTTTGCTAAGATAATGTACTTCATGGTTAGAATGCCTAAGGCCGTTATAAAATCCTCTAGATGAATGATTCATAAAATGATTCTTAAACATTCTTGACTTCTGTTGACTATATGAATAGTATTGTTTAGATAAAAGAGGAGAAGTTGCTAAAGCTTTCGTTGTATGAGTTAATAAAGATGACATGAGTTGGATAATAATCCATGGTAATTGATGCAGATATTGACTATTTTCTACATCAGAGTGTATAACACTTTGGAGTAATTCATAATCCCTTGAAAATTGAATTTGTGAATTCAATACACTGTCAAGTATTTGATAATTTTCCAGACAATTAAGAATTTCATTGGAATAGTGAATTGAATTTGGCGGTAAAATTGTTAGTAACCTAGAAATTTGATTTATGTGTAAATTATGCTTAAGTAGAATTTGTTTAAATTCTTTTTCTGACTTTTTTAACAAGAATATAAAGGTTAATAAGCGTATTTGCATTCTCTCCGAGTCATAGTCATCAATTTGACCATTAGATACATTGGTTTGTGCATACTGACTTTTGTATATTTCTGACCGCCATTCCAACTTCTTTTTTGGAGTGTTCATCTTTCGGAGGTGTATGTAGATTCCTGAAGAAAACATTGAGAATAGTTGGTTTACTATTCGACTGATCATTGATATGAAAAGGCATTTAGTAAAATCAGAACTCAAATAAACAGAAATTATAAAAAATAGTCGGTAGTGCATAAGTCATCATCCTATTTGTTCAAAACTTACTTTTTCTCCTGTTCAGGAGCCGTCAGCAACATGTACCTGTTCCTCAGTGAGTGATAGTATTTTTCCTAAGACTCGAACCCGGTACGCACAGTCCAAAATGCTGAGAGGTGCATTCAGTGTTAACAGAAAAGTAGAGACACTAAAGTCGAATGACCTTGGATCAACCAATCAGGTCTCTCAGCATTACAAATCGATGCTTTTCACTATCTTCGTTGCAACTTTCACCCTAATCTTAATCATAAATATGCCTTAATCCTACCTTGAACTAAACCATCAATCAGGATGAAACTTGCAACAAAAACTATGAGAAGCATCGATTTGTAATGCTGAGTGGTCGGATTGGTCTGTTCAAGGTCATTCGACTTTGGTGTCTATTCTTTACTGTTACCTGTTGCATCTTCCACTGACCTGGTGAATAACTCTTTGCTGTTTGAAATTATGGGTACTGGATTTAAAATCACCATCATTTACTCGGGAGCATGTTCATCTAGCCTACAGCTGCCATCTTTTCATTTCCAGGAGAAACAAACTTCACTAGATGACTTAAACCAACAGTTATGAATTTATGATATGCGTTAATCTTGCCCTTTTTCTTTCAGCCTGATACTGTTTCTGTTGATAAATGAATTTAAAAAAATACAAACGCGAAGAGGACACAGTATATTACTTAAATAGATGATAATAAATATTCTAATCGAGGCATTGTTTGGTGTGCGATGTTATTCGACTGCTTCCTCAGACTACGCTCAATCCATCTCCACTTTCTCCTACATATTTGTTGAGCAATCGGCTCTTCGTTGGTTTCTTCATTACCACAGTTTCTTCTTGTTAATTTTTTGTGCCTGACCAGCCATTTGATCTTCACTATGAAGCCAGCGAAGCGGGCAGCTACTGATAAAAGTCTGCAATAGCCTATCGGAAATTTTTTTTTCGTGACACGCAGTCCAAGTTTCTGACCAGTTATAGAAGAACTAACTGGCTTAAAATGTGCGTTAAAATCTGAACCTTGTTCTATATGCTGGCTGAGTGAAGTAGACGACTTCCAAACTGGTTTCAGGTTGACGATTGGTGGCAATCAGCAGGAAGCATTCAACCATCTGGGTTTCGTCCTTGTTGGCACTCACCAGTTGTTAGTCAGCAAGGCGTATCTGAAATCTAGAAGGAACTGATGTTCTCCTGACTGATTTTTACCCGAGTCAACTCACTGCTACAGTTGGAGATATTATCACTGAGCTGTTCGAGCTGATGATCGACTTCCTGTAGCATTTTAATGAAGACAATGATTGATTATCAGAATACAACTGTTTTTATGCGTCTGATTCTTGGTGCTGATACAGACTGAAATCTGTCAGTGAAATCCGTGCCAACACATAAAAAAAATGGAGATGGATTAGTCATACGCCAGTGAAGAAGCCGTTGAATGACATCGCACATCAGGCAATGTCTCGAGTAGAATTCCAGTGGAAAGTTTGAGGGTGACGTGGAGATCGTGCGAAGAAGCGATTAGAGGTTAATAGTCAGTTTAACGCCCGCCTAGCTGAAGAGGAGAGCAGAAAATAGAACAATGTGGATATTTTAATTTGACACTAGTAACTAGTGTGATGCATCTGGTCCTCTGATTGGTGTAGACTGAATTCTATCAGTCAGGTTGTAATGTGACCATCACGGTGCACATTGATTTGATGGTATTAGATGGCGAGTTAGCTAGAATGATGGTCACATTACAACCTGACTGATAGAATTCAGTCTACACCAATCAGAGGACTAGACGCATCACACTAGTTACTAGTGTCAAATCAAAATATCCACTATAGTCCTACAGAAGGTCAATCGCGGGTCTGAATAGCTCAATGGTAACGTCTCTGACTGCAGGCGGCACTGGGTGACACGGGTTCGAATCTCAGAAGGGACATGAGTTCCTTCAAGGCAGTTGAAGATACGCCTTGCTGACCTTTGAGTGCCAACTAGCACGAAATCTAGGTTAGGCAAGGCTTCCTGCCATCTAATGTGGAGATTTATTGTTGAACGCCTATTTTTCAACTGGAACCCAAGGAAATAATATTAATAACATAATCCACCAATAATCATTTAACAGATATATATATATATATGCTTATTTTAAAAGATGTCCGTGAAATAGTAAAACAAAAAAATACAAATAAAGTTTAATTATATTTTAATAGTTTACATACAATGATAAGTTTTGTTATTGGTAATATTTCGAGAAAAATTACTGCCCGTGTTCACACCACTGTTGGAATTGTTTTATTCACACATTTATGATTTGTACTCATATATATAGTTCATTATTATTATTATTATTTTGCTCATTCATGTTTTGTGTGTGCATATGTGTGTTCAGAATTATACTCCACATTCATTCATGTGTTTGTATTTAGAATTATATTCCAAGTTGTTGATGGTTGTACTGAGTCACCCTTGTTACATGTATCCGGTGTGACTTTAATGAATATCGATTCTGTTATGAGTCTCTCTCTTTCCATTTGTTCATGTTTGTTTGTAGAATACACACATTGTCCCAATCGATATTGTGGTTTTTGTCCCATGCATGTGCAGCTGTCGATGAATTTTTTTCAAGATTTTTGTAAGCTCGTGTCCCTGTTGGTTGTCCTTTAGTTAGGCGTTTATGTTCAATCACTCTTATTTTGAGTGATCTGGACGTTAACCACACATATTTAGTTGGACAGTCAGCACAGGATATTTTATAAATCAAATTGTTTTATCCATCATTTTTATGGGATCTTTCAGTTGATTTATTTTATTTTTGATTAGATTCGTCGGTTTAAAGGTAGTTCGAATGCCGATATTTTTGAACAAAATTGGTACATCAGAGGCAATACAAAGAAACCTCAAAAATATCGGCATTCGAACAACCTTTAAACCGACGAATCTAATCAAAAATAAAATAAATCAACTGAAAGATCCCATAAAAATGATGGATAAAACAATTTGATTTATAAAATATCCTGTGCTGACTGTCCAACTAAATATGTGTGGTTAACGTCCAGATCACTCAAAATAAGAGTGATTGAACATAAACGCCTAACTAAAGGACAACCAACAGGGACACGAGCTTACAAAAATCTTGAAAAAAATTCATCGACAGCTGCACATGCATGGGACAAAAACCACAATATCGATTGGGACAATGTGTGTATTCTACAAACAAACATGAACTAATGGAAAGAGAGAGACTCATAACAGAATCGATATTCATTAAAGTCACACCGGATACATGTAACAAGGGTGACTCAGTACAACCATCAACAACTTGGAATATAATTCTAAATACAAACACATGAATGAATGTGGAGTATAATTCTGAACACACATATGCACACACAAAACATGAATGAGCAAAATAATAATAATAATAATGAACTATATATATGAGTACAAATCATAAATGTGTGAATAAAACAATTCCAACAGTGGTGTGAACACGGGCTGTAGTAATTTTGCTCGAAATATTACCAATAACAAAACTTATCATTGTGTGTAAACTATTAAAATATAATTATACTTTATTTGATCTAATCCACAATGCTCAAACTTTTTACTGATATTAAAAAAATACAAACTCACACAGACCCGCACACACACACACACAAACATCAATTCAACACAAACGATAAAATAACACACACACACACACACATCGAAAACGGATCAGAAATAAGCACAAATATAAGAATTTATTTTGAGCAAAACAAGGCAAAGACAGAAGAAGGAGCAGAAGCAGAAGAAGTGTATCTATCCATCAGCTTTCGAACTGAGTGAATACTTCTCTATTTTTTTAAACACATTGAGGTAAATTATTTGTATTATTCCACATTATGTCTCACATATATATATATAACAACAGACAACGTAATAGTGATAATAAGTTAAGGTTGGAAAAATGAGATACACGGTGAATAATTTCCTTTTGACATTAATTTTACTCAATATAAGGAGTAAATTAAGGAAAGACAATTTTTTTCTAGCCTTTCAAGCTGAAGAGTGTTCATCTTCTTTTTGTTAATTCTTTACAGAATACAATAAAAAAACAAACAAAGTAAGCCGGCAAAAAGAAGACAAGATGCTCATTTCCCCCCGCCCCTTGAATTGTGGCATAACCGTCTACCTTCCACTATCCTTTTTCAAGATCACGAAGTAGTAGTCGTAGTAGTAATAGAATTGTTGTATAAAGTTACACTGTCGTTTAAATTCTCATTCCCTCTATCATTATTTACTGATAACTCTGAAAGTTAATAATTTCAACTGTGAGGATTCTTCACTTCTCATTAGTTTTACACACTTCTCTAATACTGGGTTAATCTGTTGTCTCTCCTCTGTGAATGTTACCGCGTCCACGCTACATGGCTGTACGCTTTCTTCATAATCTATCAGTGAATATATTTTTGCCTTCAGGGTGTAGAGATTTTCTAAGGAATTGAACTCCACATTAGGTCGAAGAACATGTAAATGTTTTGTAGCAGAAGTAGTAGTGATTGTATGTCGTCGAGGATTATTCAGCTTTCTTTGAGTAGCCTTCTTAAACGACAGCAGTGATCTTAAATAATCCTTAGATGAAAGTAAAGCACAATTATTCAATGATCTTACTCCATATTGACCATGATCAATTTGATGATGATGATTCGTATTGATCAGCATTCGTCTATCACTACTTGTACTACTACAACGTCGACGTCGACGAATCGATCCACTACTCAGGGATTTATCTTCACTTAGAGAAAGTGATTTCTCATCTTTATTATTCAGTTGCGTCAAACTTTTTGGTTTAGTAAACGGGAAAAACTCTTGTAGATTTGTTGAATTCCTTAAAAAGTTTGCATGAATTTGTTCACTTCTCAATGGTTGACAATATTGTCCCCCGGTAAATTTTATAAATGGATTTATCGATTGATAAGGCTCCATCATCTGATGTCGACTAATGACATCATACCATAGAGGATTAACTGACTGATTGATTGAATTCGGCAGGATGAAACAACCCAGTGAAGCTAAACGTTCCGGTGTTAATCCATCGGATTTGGATACCTCTTTGGACGTATAATCAGGATTATACGGTGAAGTAATATAGTTTTCACGTAATTTCTGTGATGAATCATCCACTTCTTTCTGGATTTCTTCAATTTCTTTCACTAATTCTTTATTCTTTTCATTATTCAATGCAAAATACTGGCAATCAAAACGATTTGGTAATAACTTTTGTTGTCTTTTATAAAGATTTAAATGTTTCGCAATGATTTTTTTACGGCAATGTTTAATTTTCCGTCGTAAATGTGCTCTTGTTTGTACATCGAGATGTAGGGGAATTTTATGCGGGTAGATTAATCGTCTTTCCGGTCGCTTCCTATGCACACCAGGATGCTGTAGAGTGTGTCGTTTAGGCTTTGTTGACTTTGCCTGCTTTCGTCTATTGTCTAAGAGGTCAGTATCACTGAAGCATTCCTCGGCATGTTCATCAGAGAGAAGAAGAAGGCGAGAAGGCATGTCCTCGTTCTGTTTCATATGACTACTACTATATGCATCCTGTTGTAATTCATAGAATTTCGTTGTATCAATTTTATTGAAATCCTTTGCATCATATTTTTTCATATCTTTGATTATTTGCAAAGCAGTTGATTGGTGTATGCCTTCTATCATGGAAATATCAAACGCTAAAGAATCAATTACATTTGGTGTCAATTCATATGCATTTGTTGGTAAAAATTCAAATATGCCTACAGTATTGTTCAAAGGTTCAATAGTTTCGAATTGTCTACGACCAGTAAGTTGTTTTCTATCGTATTCCAGGTGTTCAGTCATAATTTCACGTCTATCATCGAATAGGGAGTCTAGCATACTTACTTTTTTCAATTGATCACTTGTATGCAGTTTTGATGACTCTTCAACGGAATAGTTCTTATCAAGTGATAGCCTGCCGGCATCTTTCCTGTCTGTGATACTGTATGTCCTTGAAATTTGTTCAGCTGCCTGATAATCTAAGTACTTAGAATAACCTTGAATGTCATCTGATTGTAAAACAGTGTGACTTTTATCAAACCCTTCCGTCAATTTTAAAAATTCACTAAAGGAATTCTCAAGATCATTCAGAGATCCAACTGCAGTTTTTTCATGTTTAGTTTCGTATGGTAAGTCTTTGAATGCTTCGTGTGCTTTTGATTTCTCATATGCTGCTGCTGTCGCTAACGAAGTCTTTTCTGCCCTACCGATTGTACCTTGTAAAGAATTCTCAGAGAGATTATCACTTGCTAGTGTTTTCTTTGGTTGTGGAGATTTCTCATCATATCTATCAGACGCGGTCGCCTTTTTGCCTGATATGTCATGTGTGCCTTTTGGTTCGTCTTCTACCCCAGAGGCACTTTTGTATTTCGCATTCGCTTCATGTGACAAGTGATCATGAGGTTGTGTAAGATGATCAGCGGATTTTTCCCAGTAGTCTGATAACCCTTCAGAAGTTACCTGTGTCAAGTATTCAGGAGAACTAGTCTGCTTATGACTAGTTACTTTAACATGTATCGCTTCAACAGGAGATGATGTTTCGGGATATTTTGAGGCCTTATTGAATTCATTCAATATATGGATACTATGTTTTGACATATCTTCTCCGACCCAAGTTAAAGTCATTTCTGAGTGAGTGTGAGGCATAGCACTAGTTTTCACTTGATTCAGATCATAGAACTCTGGGCTAATAGTGTCACTGTTATCGCGGAATAGCATACGGTCGGGCTTATCAGGTGAAATTACATATCCTAAACCTTCATCATGTTGTTTTTGAGTGTTAGCCGATTTACGAGTTCTTGTTGCGCGTTTTTTATCATGATCATCACCATCGTCATCATCGTCATCCCCATCCTCATCGTCATCTTTAGATGTTCCATAAGCCTTTTTAGGCGCTCTTTTTGAATGCTTCGCTTTCTGTCGACCACCACTTTCTCCTGTTTCTTCACCAATTCTAATTTGTACACCGAATCCACTAGCTGCTCTAAGCTGTGTATCTGTGTAATGACTTTCATGAAGTTCAGCTTGATCAAATTCCCTAGATCGAAGTTTTTTTCCATCTTTCTTTTGTAAGGCATCAGTTTCACTAGCCAGTCTCACCTTGTCTGGTTTTGTTTTGTCAAGAAGAATCGAATCAGCTGTCATCCGCTTTTTATCCTCTTTCGTGGAAATTTTCTCTTTTGATTTTACCTCTATGACTGCATCGTCAGTTTTGCTGACAGTACCAATATGCATTGCCTTATTTTCTTCACCACCTAGATCCTTTGGGGAGAATTTCTCGTCAGGCTGAAGTGGATCCCTCAACTGATGATCAACATTCAACATGTTGTCTTCAGCATACGTTTTCTTCTTTGCAAATTCACTGGTAGTTCTTTTGACCGCCTCATCTTCAAAGAATAATAATTGGTGTGGATCTTTCATTTGGATTGGATTCTTAAAGCTATGCATTACAGCCTCGGTGGTTTTCACTGCATATTGAGTATGCATACAAGTATTCCATTGACATAAATGATGCATGTCTGGTTTAGGTTGTGCCAACATTCGCCCAGTACATGATTTTTGCATATAGTTATGCTGGAATATTTTGTCAAATTTCGATTGCATACCATTTCGGTAAATAATGTCTGGTAGGGTTTTACTTCGATTAGTTTTATCATCCTCATTATTATTATTATTGTTATTACTATTATTATTATTATCACCACTTTTGAAAAGGTTTCTGTCTACAGAAGCCCTATCCCTTTTACCAAAAGACAAGCAATGCAAATACTTCGTTAAACATATTTCAGTGGATATGCTTTCTTTTGTGATGTGTTGTGGGGTTGAGTAACTTTTTAACCAGGTGTAATAGATCTGTGAACAGTATGAAAAACAACAACATCTAATAATATTCACTGAATGGCAGTTCAAAGTCTTCCTCTGTTTACAATCGATTTGATTACTGTGAGGATCAGCCATTAATATGCTATGTAATTCCTGAAAATCATTCATAACAACAATTGAAGTCCTTCTATTGGTATTCTGATCTAGTGAATCGCCTACATGTGTAGCTGAATAGGCACTGAGACGTGTCTTAGAGCAATTATCAATTCCAGAAGAATCTTCAAACTTATTTTTACAATTTATATGAATTAAATAGAAAGGATATTTTAGCAATGAGTTGAAAGGTAATTCCACCAACGAAGATAACTCTTCATCGTCTAGCTTGGTGTTCCCCTCATCCTGCTCACTTGTTGTATCCACAGTTAATCTGTTTTCTGATTGACTCTTGCGTGTATTGAACCACTTAGAGTTAGTGAGTACATTAAACTCAAGTAAATTACTCTCAATATACATTATTATTTTGAATAATTCCATTCCATCTTGTGATCGATTGAAGTAATATTTATTGAAATGGCGAAGAAAGGCAATATTTTCAAACTCTTTGAAATTGATATCAACATTATTAGGGATTCCCGTGAACGATTTACACAAATTGTGATCATTTAACTGTCTATGTATATTATATTTTCGTAAATACAAGTGACCGCTTAACTTCAACAATATTTGATCTAATAATCGATTCAGATCATATAGTAAAAAGTTAGAATCTATATTCAACTTAAACCACAATGAATCAGTTAGTTCACGTTTATTTAATAAGGTATTGCAGGGGAACAATTCATTGAAATGCTGTAATGTTTTATTAGTATTATACCATCGAATAGATTCCTTTTCAATTTTAGCGCTCCAACTTTCAAGGTCATTTAGTGAAGCATATAAACCGCTGGTTTTATACTCTCCCTCATTATTAGACATTATGAAGCAGAGATTTTTGCAATGATCACTTTGAATGATGTCTTCCATTTTAGAATCGGTAAGAGGCACTTTTAAACAACTAAATAATATATTACTATTATTTTTATTATTACTAATTTTAAATTTGCTTGAGTAACTCCAAAAACTATTAAATAATTCCTTCCTTGAGGATGTAGCATAGTGTTCTGAAAGATGTTCTAATTCCTGTGACACCTCTAAGGAATTATGAGGAGAAATGAGACCACATCCTGATGGATCTTGATATCGCCTCTTATCTTCATTCATTTGTACTTTTACTTGATTTCTCAAAAGTAACGTTTTAATGTGGTATACAATTTCTCCTGTGGATTTATATCTGAGCAAAATGACTTTTGTGATCGGTGTAAAAATGAATCCAACTTTGTAATAATTAGAAGAAATGAATATTCTTCAAAAAAAGAACTATGATTAGCTTAAAAGATTATTTCATCCATCATTTGTCTTTCTTATAGTGTGAGTGGGATTAAAATAATTTTGTAAGTCATGTGACAATGAAGATAATATTTAGATGGGACTAGAAATCAATAATTAGTCGTGTGTAATAAATACCCATAATGAAATAGTATTAGTCCAAGTGGTAATGATAATAAATAATTATATTTTATAATATTCGTGTTTCATCTCATTTGTTGGACGAACTGAGCATCCATACTAACACTAAGTTACTGAGCCATTTCAGACTCAGATCATGCTCCATGGGTAACAGTGTGTTAATTATCAGGACAATGGGGAATCGTTTATACGACAAACCAGCACGTCAGTAGGCAGCGAGAATTTTGGTCCAACATAATTAGTCAACTCATGGAATGCTTTGCTGTCTTGTAGAAAATATCTCCTGTATATACAGGTGTCGACAGATTTTTGTGTTTTCATTCCCATCACTGATGTTTTCAAATGTCTGATTGAATTTTCTTCAAAACTCTCTATCTTCATCATTGGCGGGGGGGGGCGGGTGGAGTTGTTTCAAAAATGAACTGAATTGAAATTTTGATGCCATATCTTGCATAAAATTGTGGCAGTTCAATGTTCTTTAGTTTATAAAAGTATGGTGGTGTGATAAAGACAATGTCTGCTAACGTAATATTATGCTCACATATTACCTCAGTTCAATACTGCATACAATATATCTATTTGAACATTCATTTTGATGTTAGCGATAGAATACATTTCACACGGTTATATACTGCATTAAAACAAAAGTATACTATGTATATTTCAAGGTTCTATTTCATGTTGCTTGATGTAAACCGAAATCTCAGGCTCGGTGATTGGTTAGAGAATATAAACTGTATATATGTAGACAGAGGCTTGATCAATGAAATATTTACCTAGTCTTTCGTGTCTTGCCTTCTTTTCTTCTAACGACAGAAGACAAGGGCCAGTCAACAGATCCCTTATTGAGAAAACCGACAGATATTTATAGATTTTTATACACATTATTATTAGCGTTATTATTAGCAGAGAAGCAAAGTCTTCTGATTGGTTGTTGTCTTGCTGAAGGTTATTCTGCACTGCATTTGACCGTTTCTTAGAAAGTTAAGCCATAATTTATCTGCGAATCGTATTTGCACACTTTAAGTCTTCTGTAATTTTTGGTGAGTTCCTGAAGGTTAAGCTTTGTTATTGTTTTTCAGATGACCCTGATTCGCGACGCAACACTGATGTAAATTGGTGTACGATTTACGATTAAATCAGGGTAATTGTTTGGTGAGAACTCTCTGCTAGCCAAAGCTGCAGACATCAAAACTTAACCTTGAAGAACTCAACAACCAATCACAATAGACTTAACGTGTGCAAATACGATTCGCAGATAAATTATGGCTTAACTTTCTAAGAAACGGTCAAATGCAGTGCAGAATAACCTTCAGCAAGACAACAACCAATCAGAAGACTTTACTTCTTTTCCAACAATAACGAATAATAATATACATAAAAATCTATAAATATCTGTTGACCTTCTCAAACAAACGACCTGTTGTCTGGCTATTGTCTTCTGTCGTTGCAAAGTAAACATTTGCTAGGAGGATGAAATAATCTCCGACTGTTTTTCACTTTATTTGAATAACCCTTCACACAATTATGTAACCATTCTCACTTACGTGTGAATTACTTTTAAATTTCAGAAGCATGTATAATGTCACTATTTTAGTTAGAAGTGATCATTTTTTACTGCCTTTCTAATTTGTATCTAGCCTTTATTTTGAACATTTTATTCCATGGATTACTCTAAATGATTTGAAGGTGTCTACTTCATGTTCTATGTCTACAAGATGCCTAACGCTTGCAATATTGAGACAATATCTTGCCTTGAGCCGTAGACTTATTTTGAGTTGCCCAAAGAGTTTAATACCTATTAGAAGTGGCACAGTATAGAATTATCATTCTACGGTTCATGAACTAATCAGGGTCTATGTATAGGGGACTTTCTAGCGAGCTCAGTAGCAGAACACGTATTTGAATAGAAATCCAGGTTAATGAGATGATAGTGTAACGGTAATATTATAACCGAAATACAGTAGTGAGTTATATAAATTAATTGGTTATTTGGTTGTACAGTTAAAGCCCACTGCTACAAATTATTATGAATATAATCCACAGAAGTGTTCACTGCTGGAGTTGTGTCTACCAGTCTTAGAAGCTGTACACCGGTTGTAAAATAATCTTCACATGAGGATGAGTTCTTTCAAAATCCAAAGGATACAATATGGTTAGTGGTGAAGCAAGTAATCAATATGGACCAGTGAGGAGACGAAGCGTCCAGCAGCCCACCGTATTTTAGGTTGTACTCCGAAGTTATGTATATTTTATAGCGAATCGTTCTAAACAAAAGTTATGTACAATGTTTCCATTTTTAATATCTTACAAAAGCTTTGCAATCATACTGTTCTGGACCCCACACGACTACCCCTTAGAAGTCTGAAGGATGCCCATTATCTCCTTTTCTATTCAACTCTATCATAGATGTGTTAATGGACTTAACCCTAGGTGACTTCAGCGACTCAGGGATTGACTTGCTACCAGGGAATAATCTCGTTGACTTGGAATATGCAGACGATATAGTCCTTCTAGGCGAAGACGCTGACAAAATGCAGAGTCTTCTAAACACCTTGAGCCGCAATCTACGAATGTTTGGCATGCGATTCGCTCCCGCCAAATGCAAGATGATGTTACAGGACTGGACTACATCGACGCCTAGTTTAAAAATAGGAAGTGAAGTGGTAGAGCACGTTGACCGCTTCACTTATTTGGGAAGTACCATCAGCCAGTGCCAACGGGCTGATCTCTGACGAAATCTCAGCACGAATACAAAGGGCTCGTTTCGCATTTGTTAGTTTACCCCGACTCTGGCGTAGACGAGATGTTCGACTATCGACCAAAGGGCGGGTGTACTGCTCATCAGTCCGCTCCGTCCTCCTTTATGGTTGTGAGACATGGCCACTCAGAGTGGAATACATGAAAAGACTAGCTGTGTTTGATCATAGGTGCCTGCGCTCTATTTCCCGTGTAAAGTGGCATAATAAGGTGAGCAACATTGAGGTTAGGCGTAGAGTTCTAGGTAAACAGGAAAAATCATTCGACGAAGTCGTGAAGCTACAAAGACTGAGATGGTTAGGACATGTGTTACGTATGCCAAGCCATCGCCTCCCTCGACGAGCTATGTTAGCGGATATAGGGTCAGGCTGGAAAAAAGCTAGAAGCGGTCAAACAAAAACTTGGCACCAGTCAATGAAATCCACAACAGTTAGCTTAAGCCAGCCACGTAGAAAGGTGTAGACTTCCTGACTGGTTGGGGTCCTCGGGACGGTAAAAACCAATGAAGGTTGGAAACAATTGGTGACATGGCTCAAAATCGTTCTCAGTGGCGCAGATGCATCCACTCCTTGTGACTTATGATCTCCATTGAAACTGTTTTGTTCTTCGTTATTACTCCTCCTTTGTCTCACCCCTCTGCTCACTGTTTCTATTACGCTTTTCTTGTTCTTTCTTCTCTTGCTTCGCGTGCTACACGGAATGTGGCGACTTGAACTTCCGCACATTTGTGCAAAGTTCTATGTCGAAAACAGACAGACAGACAGAAGTCTGAAGATACTACCTTGTAATGATAGAAGACAAGGGTCAGACAACAGATTGCTTATTGAGAAAATCAACAGATATTTATAGATTTTTATGTAAATTATTATTAGCGTTGTTGTTAGCAGAGAAGAAACGTCTTCTGATTGGTTGTTTTCTTCCTCAAAGTTATTCTGTACTTGAATAAAGCAAGAACAACAGTGGTTTGTGAAGAATAATATAGTACCATCATCGCCTTTTTCGTTGGCTTCTCATCAGCTGCTTACAGCCTAAATAAATTATGCAGTTTAAGTACAGAAACGTTTTAACATACTTGCAAATTTTACATGTTTTCAGTTGACAGAAAGTTCCACGATTAGTCAATAGTGCTCAGAAAATTGCGCTTATATAGTTTTTACACAGGAAGTTCAAGTTTAAACAAAGTAAATGTATGCATATAATGGTAAAGGAGTTGAGTAATAAAGATGAGATATGCATTAGATGCATAGTGACTAATAAGTTAGGTACCACTGTACTGAGTTGAACTCAGATCACAGAAAAAAGAGACAAGCAAAATTACAGATTATAAAAGGAGAGTGAGGTAAAAGACAAAGATTACGTAATCAGATGAGGGAATAATGACATCCAGCTACCAGGGCAAGGAAAAACTAATAACTGCTTCTTTCTGAACACATAAATCTGGTTTGGTTCAAGCGTTTGATAGAAATTGCTTCGACAAACTTGAGGAGAGTGGAACTCCTTTGTCTATTGATAATTTTGAAGGGTTTCCACCTCATAACCCAAGTCGAGGAGATGTCTGGTAATAGCGCTACTATAAGAGTTTGTTTTCTTGAGACGTAGGCTTTTCGGCAAATGTTCGGAAAATTGGAGGTGCACCCTTCTTTCTGTTCTCCCAATGTAACTGCTCCCTCAGATACACGTAAATTTGTATACACAGTTGGAGTTGTTAACATGAGAAGGGTATCTATCGACGTTTGTACTGTACTGCGTGTGACAGTTTCTCAGAAAGTTAGGCCATATATCTGCGAATCGTATTTGCACACGTTAAGTCTTCTGTCACTGGTTGGTGAGTTCTTCCAGGTCAGTCTTTGTTATTGTTTTATCTCATGACCCCGATTGGGGACGTAAACATTGACGTGAATCGACGTCTACTATTTTCGGCTTGCAGACTGCTCTCGCCACAACCAGGAGGTCTCACAATTATTAATAGTAACAACTACTTTTGTGATAACCATATTGTCACAGACTCTACATATTTATGTCTCCTGGGATTAAAAAGAAATTCGATATTCATGAATAATAAGAACGCCGTCAAAATGATCATATAGTAGGAAGTGCTCTAAGATTTAAGTTTGTTAGACGCTGTGTTGTTAGTATCATCTTTCCTCAAATAAATCGGTTTTGATTCGATTTGAAATAACACACAGAGATCAGTTAAAGTTTGAAATAAAGTGAATTTTCTATGTAGGCCTCTGCAAAAATCTTCAGTTTACCACAACACTTTATTAAATGAACCTACATAGGCGAAAAAATGACAAATGCAAAATAAAAACGATAACAAACAGTAGTATACAAAGGAATATTTACTTGCAGAATAATGAGAATATCATGAATTTGTACCACTGGAAACGATTTCGCAGCGTGTCGCCAACAATATCCACCCTCTTGACCCTAAACGTCTCAAGGAGAGTGGATAGCGCACAACCTGGTGCAAAGCAGCAGTCATGAACCTCATGAATTGATGACATATTTTTGTTTGAACATCTTTTAGTATTATTTTCTAACTGAATTCCATATCAGCTGACATTGGTCGATAAGGAAGGCGGTGATTTGACATGAGTTACACAACATGTTCTCCAATCATTCCAACTTCACAACCTTATCGATTGATTTACCATCCTTAAAACTGTACGTTTAACTTCATGATTACTGATCATTTTATCCCACCTAAAATAAGAAACTAGAAAAAGTAGAGCAAAGTTTAACGGCCGCATGCAACGTCAAGTCCACAGACGTATTATAGAACATTGTCCAGCTTAGTTGACCAGTCAGAGGAGAAAAGAAGAATAGCGGCAGCTCCATTTTCGAACATACTGTCATCTCCGGACATCGAGCACCCCAGCATGAATGCGTCACAGTGCTACACAGAGTCCCTCAGTATCGTAAAAAGAGGCTTCGCTTACACCATCTGTACATAGCTGAATCATAAGCTATTTGGGATGTGAAACCGAACCTCTGCATTCAAAAGAGCTACATACATTCACTCGCCCTACCATGACCAGACTAGAGTTCTTGCTGTAACTTTGCTTCTCGTTTATTATGTAATTTTACTACTATTATTATTGTTAGTATTATTTTAATGTCATTATTATTCACATCAACCGTATTTTATTATCACTCTACTACTGTTTATTATTAACATGGCGTTTTTATACAGATTTTAGATAAAATCACTCTATCGTCTTTCCACTAGTTCCTGTCCATTGTACGCAATCTCATTGATTAGTCATTATATCACACTTATTACGTCATGCCAGATTCTGCCTCTTTTATAATTTCCAATTAGTCACCCCACCTAGGTTAAACCTTACATTTCATGATAAGTTCTCGAGGACAAATTTTACAAGTGTCTGATTTGGCTTATGATTTCTTTGTCAAATATAATTACAATCATTGGTTCTTGTAGGGATTTAGTTTGATTAGTTGGACGATTTCATCATGAGCTTACATCGGTTGGAGAACCATTTAAAAACCTAGGAGTACTGGATAGCTGTTTTGTCCTAGTTTGGGACTCTTCACCAGTCCGCACCCACCACGCGCACCACTTCATAAAATTGGTGGAAGTTAGAATTCATCGAATGGCCATAGGATCGAGTGGATCCCAGTGAGTGGCCTAATGGTCTAGGAGCTAGCTCACCTTGTATCCAGAAGGTCCGCAGTGGGGTGAATGCGTAATGATGAAAACGAAGTAGCTGTCCAGTAGTCCCTGGTTTTCCAATGGTTCTGTAACTGATGTCAGCTCATGGTGAAATCTTCCAACAGCTTATGAAAATGAATCGTCGTAATGAAAATTTTCTTCGCTGTTTGGGCCTTTTTCTTATGACTGATTATTGGAATATTTTGTTCATTAAGAAACTTAACTCAGACACTTATACTCAAAGATATCTCAACTCTTCACGTCTCACATTTACAAAAAAGGATGACTCATCGAATTCTTTCTTTATTCTCCCCACTTTACACTTCAACTGAAAGAAAACGTTACAGAAACAATGTTTCAGAATACAAATGCACATCGAAGTAAATAAGAGAGTAAAGAATCCTCTAAAATAAAAGGTAACATTATCGGTTAACAGACTTTTCAGGCTATTCGTCTTATTTCTTTTCGTGGCATAGGTAGGACTCCAGGATCCTGAATAAATTAGCCACGGAGATTAGTCGTATTGCCCCTGAACATTCGACGAAGTCAACTGAAATCTAATTCCACCCTGTTTCATAGATCTCCATACGATAGAATAGAAATATTGTCTTCAGTAAATATCAGAAGTTAATGGAATGTATTTCCCATATTACTTAATATTATTACCATTTGAAAGATGTAGAATAAAGCGTTGTTGACACATTCTGAAATCATTCCTTTTCTTTGTAATATTTTCTTATACTACTCATTAACTAATAAGTAGATAAAATCACTTTTTGAATTATTTATGAAATCATTCGAAGAATCATATAGCGAAAGATCACTATTATAATGCGTGTAAGATACAGACGATCCTGAAGAGAAATTCCCACAATAACAAAATAGAAAATTTGCTATTTTTTTACAAAATGACACTGGATGTTTATGACACAGCGTGTGTACTCTGTTACACGATGTTGATGATGATGAAGACAATCCACATGAGTGTTGCTCAAATGCTGTTTTTGTAGTTAGAGGAGTATTTGTCATAGTCGAAGGAGGACGGAGAGGCGCATTGTCCCCTTCATTCTTTTTTATGCCTTTAAGTGGGGTATCCGAGTCCAATTTTTCAATATTACTAAAAATTTTGTAATGGTCTAAACACTCAAGCGGTATTTGCATTATCAACGAATTATTCAAGCACATAGAAGTTATAAGTTGATACACATGTGATTGATTAATGACTTTTTCACATCGAATCATCATCCAGATAAGATTGGATTGAAATAATTCACTAAAATTACAATGTAAAGCATTTTTATCACCGATCCAGTTATCCCTGAGGTGATAATTTACTGGGGAATAATAAACTAAGCTTCTGATTAGTTGTTTATAATGACTAGGCAGCAACCGGTCGACCGAGGTAGTCAATCGTTTCCTGATAAACGGTATTACTGGCATACAACGCGAGTAGAATTGATTCAAGTCAACTGTGTTATTAAGAATTTGAATATTTTCAGCTGGTTGAAACATAAATGTTTGCAAACTATATTTCACTACGATTATTGGTAATATAGTAAGTATAGAGATATCATCATTATCAAATGAATCAATATTGGTTTGTTGTTCAAGTGAATATTGAACACAGCCTTGTTTCAATTTAACCGGTTTATTTAAATTGTGATGGAGGCTATTAGTAGTAGTAGTAGTGGGATAATTACGATTAATTACTGGGACGAGTGCGGAAGAAACAGCGGGTAAATCCGGTGACAGATGTTCCTGACTGTGTCTAATATAATGACTAATCAAGGAGTAACGATTTTCTGCTCCAAGCATTACATAGACGTCTGGAGAGACGTGTTTACTTGCATCAAGAATTTGTTTCTTTGTTAGAAAGGCAGTGTTATGTCTTTTCTGTTTCCCAGGTGGTAATGAATGATGTCGCTTTTTATCTCGACTTAAAGAAACACGATGTTCATGAGAGGATAGTTGACCATGTCTATTTGGACTTCGTGAATCACGCTTATTAACAGACCTAGTGTTGCTTGATTTCTTTTCTACATCTCTGCGCTGTTTTTGTTTATCTGCAGGATGTGAGTACGTGGAATTCGATGGCTTCGGTTGACACGCTAAGGAGTGATAATGATGATGTTGACGATGATGAGATGGTGTAGATGATGGATGAATTAAATTTTTAGACGCTGAACACTTTTTCACACCAATTTTTTCTTTTTTTTTCAGTCCATTTGACGATTTACACTTGACGTAAGCATTATATGTATGAACGTTGGTTAACTCACTACGCTCAAGTGCATCAGTTGGTGATTTTGTCAAAGGAGTCTTTTTAGTCGATGTATTTTTGACTGGTTTCAATTGATATTTTTGTAAAATTTTACTACAATTTCTGTCTTTTTCACCTACATATAAACTCGGTTGTGTTTTGCCATTCTTAGAAAAGTTACTGCCTCCATCTAACTTTTTACTGCCCCTGTGACAATTCGTCTTGAGATTCTCGTTTAGGCTTATAAAATTCCCATGCTGCGAAACACCTAAAGAATTGGGTAATTCACTTCGATTACACATACAATTTACAGAAAGATTTTCAGCTAACTTATCACACTGTATGATGAGTAATTCCTCAGATTTAACTCTTGGTATATTTCTCCCTAATTGGCCATCGTTTTGCTTTGCATTTGATTGAATATTCAGTAAATATGTTTCTTCATCACAAGGTATATAGGGACTAGGAATTGTTGATATTGGAACAAGATGTTTCATACCTTCAAATGACAACGATTCATCGCTATCGCTTAAAACATTTCCATAGTTTGATAAATATGTATAAGTATTAGGCTTAGTGTATAATTTCAGGTTGCGGTGAGTATGTTCTGTGTCATTTCGATTCACAAACCGATTACTTTTTATATTCTCTTTTGATTGTAAACGCTTCCTAATTCGATATAATTTATTGGGAGATTGATATTTACGAAGGAGACATGAACTTGGCATTCCGTTATTCAGTTTTCCTGGTGATAAATAAGGAGCATTCATTAGACTTCTACAACTGATTTCACGCATAAAATCGATACTGTGAGATAAACGCTTTTTGATTACTGAATCCCATAGTTTAGCACATGTTTGTGTACTTGACGTGCACTTTGTCTTATCTGTACAGATGCAATCTAGGGGAATACCATCAGTCAGCTGATGTTGATTACACAAATTCCCTGAAGATAGATAACTTATTTCACTTTCACTTAACTCAGAAATAGAATCCAGAGAGGAATTCGACTTATACTTCATTATATAGTGTTGTTATTATTATTATTAATATTGTTTTTGACGAGTTTTCATTCCAGGTATTATGTAATAAGCATGTTTAAGTGTGCATTGTTCCCAGGATTCGGTGAATAAATACACATAGTTGAATTGTATATAACATTAGTTGTTATAGCAAAAATCATGATTATACTACTGAAATGAGTAGTTTCATGTCAGAAAAAAATAATAATAATATTCGTTTTCATTAATCCCTTTGGTGTTAATTAATCATCTGCAAAGCATCTGCGAATCCTTATTCTCATCACATGATTCATTTCTTTATAAGATAACATGAAATCAAGGCTGTTTAATGATAAGGGCAATTTAAATAAGATTTATTGATTTTTTTTGTTAGTCTAACAGTATTTACAGCATTGCACTATTAGCTATTACATATTATAATAATTATTATTCCTTTGGGTTCCGTGGGGAATACAGGTCTTCAACTACACATTTCCACTTTATGTTCTATTTTCTGCTGCCTTCTGCAGCTGACTGTGCCCACGACTGCTCATTATCTCGCATCTTCCCCTTCCGTAACACGCTATCTCCTCTATGTTACCCATTGGGATTCCGCTCGACCGATGGCTTGCATTAGGTGCGACGTCGCTTGACGGCCTCCTCAGTGGCGTATTCCCGATCCATCTCCATTTTCGCCTACATATTTGTTGAGTGATCGGCTCTTGTTGCTAATTCTTTCTAGTCAGGCGGCTGGCCATTTGATCTTCAGTATGCAGCCAGAGAAGTGGGCAGCTGTTGATGAAATTCTGCTATGGTCTATTGGAAAGCCTTTTCATGATACACAGTGTAAGTTTCTGACTCGTATAGAAGAACTGACTGACTTCACATGTGTGCTGAAAATGCAAATCCTGTTCTCAGCGCTGAGTGAGTGAAGCAGAAGATTTCCAAACTAGTCTCAGATTACAAATAATAAGATTTAAAACAATTAGTTCCCTTTATGATTTATTAGAAAAAAACAATAAGAAGACGTAATTTGTCTGAATCGTATAAGGTGTATTTGCGCGCACAACACATTTCGAACAATCTGATCACACTTCACGGACTTGTCATAGGAAGATGTATATATGTGGAAATAATAAAGAGGTAAGAGGTGAGAAAATAGACTACTTAGGTCAAGTTAAAAGGACATATTCGACGTCAAAATAACAATGAAGATCAATCACTAAACCAAATAGCAGAGGTAATAGTACATCTGCTATGGTATCAAAACGAAATTTACCAAAGAAGGTTGAATATGATGACGAATTGTTTTTGAACGCATAAAGGTGGTTTAAACTCTCTAATTGCCAGCTGGGGCTTCCACAAAAACTTTAGGATACACCCTCCCCCAAACACGTATTATAGGTAGGTTTAAAAGATCTGTTAACATCAATTTTATGTCCTGTCTCTATAATATGCTTCGCAATAGAAGAGCTAGATCTCCTGTTCTCACCGTTAATAGGTTCTGAAGAATCCATTTGTTTCTGGAGCCATTTCGGAATATGCTCTGAAGTCAGCCCTTACTTGTAGAGATCGATGAGTCCTCCCTATGTATGTTTGTCTACATGTACATTCAAATCGGTAAATACAGTGGGATGTGACGTCATTTTTCGCATGTTCGAAGGGCTTAGATAGATATAATGGCTTTACATTCTCTATTATTATGATATTAGCTGCATAAAAATTCCTTTTAACAGCAGTGTTCAGACCTTGTCTAGTTATCAAGCTGCTTTGATGTCCTGGGTTCGAACCCCAGTGGGGTGGGTGCGTACTGCTGAAGATTACTGAACTAGGTTGACGAAACAGCTGTCCAGTAATCGAGTGCTGGTTATCCAACTGATGTCAGCTCATGATGAAACCCTCCAACTAATTCTAAGAATAAGTGAGAAAAAATGTTTATGAATGTCGATGAACAAAGGAATTCTGTTAACGAACCAGACAACAACTCATTGTCCAATAAATATGCAAAAGGAAATGCAAATGGGCTGGACACAAATACTAAAGAGACTGCTGAAGACATTACACATGTCAGATAAGCCTTTGAATCGAAGGTGAATGAGATGACAGCTATTTGCGCATGCGTCCTAGCTTGACATGAAGGAGATTTAGGGAAGAAGAAATATGAAAGATTATGGGCAGTTGTAGAGACAGCCACAAAGAAGAAGAGTACAGAGAAAAAAGTAAAATGGCGATTTCCTGGTGAAGCCCAATGTTTCACTCAAAACTCAACAGAATAATAGTAATAATACAATAATAATAATAAGCCTTAGCCAATCCCGGTGGGTGAGTACTGATGAAGAGTCCCAAACTAGGACGAAATAGCTGTCCAGTACTCCTAGGTTTTCCAGTGGTTCTCTAACTGATGTCAGCTCATAATTAAATCCTCCATGCAATCAAACAAAATCTCTACAAAACCAATGCTTGAAAATCAATCTGATGCTCACTAGTGACTGGCCCTATTCAGGCAGTTAACCTGGGGTTCTAGTGGGAACCCGTGACCAGTAGGGTACAGCAGGTTGAAGATGAGGCAGTAACTCATCGAAGAAGACATTGCGAATTGGTCGCGCTATGTCGTGAATTGGCAGAAGTTAGAATTCAAGGACCATTGGATCGGGTCCCAGTGGCTCAATGTTTTACGAGCTCGGTAGCCTTTAAACCGGAAGGTCCTGGGTTCTAACCCTGGCGGTGGGTGCGTACTGCTGAAGAGCCCGAAACTAGGCTGACGAAGCAGCTGTCCAATACTCCCAGGTTTTCCAGTGGTTCTCTAACTGATGTCAGCTCATAATTAAATCCTCCATGCAATCAAACAAAATCCCTACAAAACCAATACTTGAAAATCAAACTGAAATTGAAAATTCCAACAGTTCATTCACCTAACTGATATGAACCTCTTCAGGGAAGTAATCAAAATTAGTATATCTAATTATTGGTTGGAGGATTTCATTATGAGCTGATATTGTAACAACAGAAGACAAAGGCCAGACAACAGATCGTTTATTTAGGAAGTCAACAGATATATATATAGATTTTAATGTACATTATTATAGATTATTGTTAGCAGAAAAACACAGTCTTCTGATTGGTTGTTCCTCACAGAAAGTTGACCTTGCATCTCTTTGTGACTGTTTCTTGAATGTCAGATCATCTATATGTTAACTGTATCCACCTACGCAAAGCCTTTCTTCTCATTTTTCTCACGACCAATATTGGGGATATACACGTTGACGTAAATTACTGTCCACCAATTTTGGCTAACAGCCAGCTCTCACAACAATATCATTTAGAGAACCATTGGAAAACCACCTAGGAGTACTGGACAGTTGTTTCTTCCTAGTTTAGAATTGTTCACAGAACGCACCCACTTGGGTTCGAACCCAGAACGCTTTGGTTATAAGGCAAACCTTGTACTTGAAAACATCTAACTATCTAAATTATAAATCTGAGAACAGATGGCATTCTATACTGTTAAGTATGTGACGTTTAGAAGTTTTAAGATATGGATAAATACGATGAAGCCGCAGATCATCTATTTTACATATATCTGTTGAAATTTACGTTGACCTCTATTTGTTTATTTCTTTAGTTATTCATTCATATACCAAATCAACTCTGACTCAGAATCATATACACCAGTATTGTTATGGCACTTTAGTATTTCCACTCATTGTCAAACTTTAACACGAGATTTACACATTCCATTCTTGAAGAAACTGAACAATCTATCTGCCAGAGTCCAGTTTACTTCAAAAGCAGAATCAGACATCGGTGAACTACCATTTCTAGACTGCCTAGTTAAGAGCAGGGAAAACGGACATTTTGGTATATTCATATTCAAAAAGAAAACCCACTCCAACAAATATTTAGACTTGGGATCATCACACCCTATCGGCGCAAAGGTATCAGTTGTTTCAAGTCTTATTAGACGAGCACACTCTTTGACGTTAACGGATGAGCAAGAAAAAGAAGAAGAAATACCAAACATTACTGAGACTCTCAAGCAAAACAGCTAACTACCCAAGAAACTTCATCAACAAACCCAACACGGACATAAAATATGATCGGAAATGCATTCCGAAAACATGAACCTCAATAGTTCTTACTCCATATAGAGCGGAGACGTCAAACGATATCAGAAGAGTACTCAATCAGCTCGACATCAAAGTATTCTTCAAAAAATCAGACACACTACGAAGCAACCTTGTCCACATAAAACACCAAATCCCTAAAGATCCTCCATCTAATTGTGTCTATAAAATAAAATTCTCGGAATGTGATGTGATGCGACATACATTGGACAAACATCGCCAGAGACAAATCAAAATCGGAAGAAATGAACACCATAGAGCATATGTTCGACGACCAAGATATCCAGCTGAACTAGAAAAGCTTGAAAAATCATCAGCCATAGCTCGTCTCTACACGCTACGCTAATGAATCAGGCCACAAAATTGATTTTGACAATATTGAAATAATCCAGAAAAACTTCAGAAATCACAAAGAACGTCTCACATCATTAGAAGCACTTTATATCAAGTGGAATCCGAATTGTCTGAACTGAGAAGGAATGATGGACTAAAACAGAATTTGACATGGTTACAAAACCCCGGCCTGAAACCTCATGAACTGATAAAATCAACACGAATGTGATAAGGAAGTTCACTATGAAAACACACACACTACTTTTATAATTTTACACACTGATAAAATCCAACAATCTACACATGATGGTTTTGTTATCTTTACCAGTTGGCCAACTTGACAACGCAAATATGACCTCATACTGAGGAACGATGATTAAGTTGTTACATATAAACTGAGTGAATTTTGTAAATTCCGGTTTAATAATACTTTGATAAATCTATTAGCATTAAATAGCAAAACGTCAGAAAAACAATGTCGTTTTGTCTTTTATTCATTGGGAAATACAAAAAAACCTGTATTATGATGAATATCATATACCCAATGGGAGACAATGGTGGTGATTAGTCATAATAGGTTTGTAGAGTGTGGGATAAGAAAATTGACAAGTCACTTCAGGGGTTCGAGAGCAGTTACCAGCTCGGTTCAGCAGGGGGGGGGGCAAATAAGTGCATAAACAGCTCGATCCTGTCATACTTGTCTCAAAAATACGGTGTGGAATCAAGCTGTAATCAAAAATAAATAAAATAAAATAAATACTGGACATCGTATCGATGTCAACACAGCTTTCAGGGTTATATACCGAATTCCGAAGTCGTTATCATGTACAGTTCGCTTACGTCTCCTACACATAGCTGAAGCTGTTGCAATAAGATCGACTAAATCGGAACTTTGTATCGAAAAAGAACATAGTCAGTCACTAATCCTGCCGTGGCCAAACTTGGATTGATGATTCCTCTTCTCACCAAGAGTGCTCCCTCCCCTCAACCCTCTTGCTTTTTTTATTTGTTTATTATTACAAATATTATTATTATTATTATTGTTATTCGTCATAATTTATGCCCTTCATTCAAACATTCCTTCAATACTATCGAATTTTCCATTTATACTCTCCGGAATTATTATTATTAGTGATATTATCTCTTTTCTCAATATATGCCTCCACCTGCTTCATTTCACACATTCGTTATTTCATGATGAACCTCTCATTGCAGTCTTACTATCTCCTCCTCCTCTTGAATACATACCACTTTGTACTAGCATATTCACTCACCTGACACCTTTTATAACCTTGAAGTGACTTGTCAATTTTCCTACCTCACACTCTACAAATCTATTATGACTAATCATCACCATTGTCTCCCATTTCACCGAAATATTTTGTAATCGATTTCAGCCCAGCACGATGTTTGTCACACAAATACGACTATTTATTTTGACACCCCATAACTGCTAATCTGTTATTCTACGTTAAAAATGTACCCACCGCATAACTGGCTCTCATTAGTGTAGCGACAATAAATATACTCAATGCCCAAGTTTTTTCAAACAGTTAAAAGTGAACTTGGTTTGAACATATATAAGTGATTTTTATTGTCTATTGTAATTCATATATATATATATATATATATATATATATATATATATACAGCTATGGGAATGAAATCGTCGAAAAAAGGATTTTCCTCCCTGAATTCTCTGTCTTTAGGTCTCAGTGGGGATTAATAATTTAGTTATAAAGAGTAAAGACCCCACGGTGGTCAAAGACATAAATGAGGTGAAGTTGGGCTTCCTGCCGATTGCCTTCAAACATCTAATATTATCGAATTATGTGGAAGTACATTTGTAGTAAGAGTAGGCTGCTAGCCAATTGGTAGACATTAATCTACGTCAATGTCTAGGTCACTAATATTGGCCGTAAGAAAATATGAACAAGGCTGATTCAACAACCAATTGCAGCAAACTTAACGTGGGCAAATATGATTCGCAGATAGATGGCTCTACTTTTCGATGATTACCGGAAACAACCAATCAGAAGCCTGCGTTTGTCTGCTTGAATAAGATATAATAATGTATATGAAATATATATATATATATATAAATTAGTGTTGATTTCCGTAATAAAACTATCTGTTGCCGGCCCTTGTCTTCTGTTGTTACATATTTAATGTGTTCGCCATTACTAAGCACTACTCAAATTTATAAACCCGCTTATATTACTTCATCTGCCTTATATTGTAATTTTTATGAGATACGACAGTTACATTCGCCATGCTATCTACCAATTCTGTGACTGCCTAAAAAGGATTTTGGAAAACTTTAGAGTAGGTTTTCTTTTTATGAACCCAAATCAATCAGAAAACCGCTGAATATCAGGGAATAGGGGACAGCTGGTCGTTTCATCCTAGTTTACACCTCTTTAGTAATAAGCTCAAAAGTATTCACCTGGGATGGAACCTTGAACTGTTAGATTTCGTGTCGAATCTGTTGATCACATAGACAGTAAAACGAGCCACTCCCACCGATGTGCCTCAGAGTTTCATCAGACACGATCGACTTCACCGACTACAACTGCTCATTAGTACTTTAGGAACTCGATCCTCTTAAGTCATGAGTTGGAAAAAAAGTTAGAAATCATGAGTCGTTTGATTCTCACTGACTAGGCGAATGGTCAGTAGCCTCACCTCACTACCTGAGCATTCTATACCCCAATCTCTGGTGTGGTCGTTGCGCTGAACACTTCTGAAGAGAGTTAAAGAATGATGAGACAAACATTCAGTGCTAATTGATGCCTATTCATTGTGAATTCCCTTGATTATCTCATATACAATATTTCTCAATCATTTGAAATTCAGGAAGGAATTTTTTAAAAGTAAAATGCAATATTCCGGAGCATCACCTAACAGAGCGTGTTGGTGGCACAACGGTAGGTTATTTGCCAATCACTACACAGGTGGTTCGGGATTCGATCCCTCGCCACAGGACTCACTCCTTCACCTCGCTAAGCTAGTAATATGACTGATAAAGAGGGAAGCTTGGGCATGAGGCTGGCTAGCAACGTCATCTCATAAAAAATAAAACGCCACTGCCACTGAAACTTTAAGCCTCTAGCTTGAAGATGCGTTTTGTTCCACTGGGAATGTAAAGGAATAAAAAACAACATCTGACAAAGCACTTTTTTGATCCCCACGCTTTCCGAGTGGAACGTCTAAAGTTTCAGTAACCCTTCCGTCATTTCCCGGCTTACTACCGACTAATAGAGGCTTAAAAGTTCATCGGCAGGGAATCGAACCCAGACAGCCAACATAATGGCAATCAAGCATTCTGACTGACTGACTGACTGGTTTAAGCATAGAACTTTGCATAGCACTGATATGCAGCAGCTCAATTCGCCACACCCCCCTCCTTGTAGCACACAAAGCAAGAGAAGAAAGTCAAAAGAAATGCAAAATAGAGAAAATAAAATGAGATATGTGACAAAAAGAATAGTAATATCGAAGAACAATATAGTTTCATTTGGGTATTATAAGTCACAAGGAGTGGATGCATCTGCACCATCACCGAAAACTATTTTCAGCTATATCACCAATTTTCCCCAGCCATTGATTTTTACCGTCCCGAGGACCCCAGCCAGTCAGGAAGTCTACACCTTCCTATATGGCTGGCTTAAACTAACTGTTGTGGATTTCATTGATTGATGAAGTCTTTTCCAATCTGATTCATTCTATGTCAGCTAACATTGCCAGTTGTCAAGGAAGGCGATCAATGGCTAGCCATGCATGCATAACACTTGTCCTAACTATCTCATTCAATCCATGTAACTTCACAGCCTTGTCTACTGACTTCCCCCTCCTTACCTAGCACTCGACCGGCGCCTAACCTTAGTATTGCTTACCTTATTTTACCATCTAACATGGGAGATAGAATGCAGACACCTCTGACTAAATACGGCTAGCCAGGCTTTTCATGTCTTCCACTCTCCAATGGCCACGTCTTGTTCACAGCCATAAAGGAAGACGGAGCGGACTGTTGAGCAGTACGCAAATCAAGCATTCTACCACTTACACCACTGACATCCACAAAGCATACTACTTATTCCTTATTACCCCATTTGAAATAATTCACATTTTTAAAGAAATAACCAAAAGGTTACAGTGAAAAAATTTTGTTTCTATTATTTCGGTGTTAGAAAGGTAAGTCAATCTTTTATTCAAACCAATTATTTTTAGAAATATTTATTTGAAACAATGTTGTTTTCCTTTCTTTCTTTCTTTCCATCTCTTCTAATGTTGTCTTATGCTCAATGAGTTATATGACAACAAATAATGCATTTATTTTCCATCGTACAACTGAAAAGAATCCACCATTTTTCTCATTGACAATTGAAACTGTTCAATTGAACATTGAACACAATGCCCAATTTCAAAATTGTTTGTTACATATTTGAAATTTATCCAACAGATAAGTCGACTAGAACAAAATAAGTATTAGTAATATCTGACCTTCATATAATAATAAATGCTAGAGAATTCAGACAATTCAGTGTAGACGTGTTAATAAAATAAGGCGATTTTGATTAACACTTGTGGGTTTGTTGGTTTCTTGGGTTGTTGTTTTTTCTGTCTTACCAGTGTATGTCTTTTTTCTCTCTCTAAAATCTAAGTATTTTCTGAATTCTCCTTAGAAAGATGTGTTGATGTATTTGTTAATAGAGGACTGTCCATCTTTTGTCGTGTCTAAGGATCGTGATTCATGGTATTAGGAGAACTTTGATTGGTTTCCTGAACTACATACTCTGGTGATGATGCATTAGGTTCATTCGGTTGCGACTTGTTCTGAGCACGATTACTACCAGTAGATAAAGCAGAAGAACCTCTTGAATGCGACATCACTTCAGACCATGGCCAAAATCTTATCTCTGGTGATACACATTTCGACTCAAATAAATCACTGGTCGGTAGGGGAGATGGAATGAAAGGTGGATATTTCTCATCATCTGTCTGACAAGAATATTGAGAGGCAAGATTAGCGAAATGCTCTGCTGCCGCTTCAGCAGCATTTGTCACTAACATCCCCTTAGAAATTGACATACAATCCATTGGCATAGAAAATGACCATGGCCAAAGATTGCTTTGTATCTTGTAGTCGGTTGATTCCTCTTCTTCGCCTCCTTCTCCTTGTTCACCTTCTCCTTTTAGATCGTCTAACATTCCGTCTTCACCAGTTGAAAATAGTTTTGCCAGAGTCTCTAGTTCTGCTAACTCTTCTGGTGTCAGCTTATCAAATGGTTTAGTCAATAGTTTGCATAATCTACGCTTTGATTTGTACAGAGGATTCGATGGATCGATAATTTTTTGATCTAAATTCTTAGGCACAGCTTTTAATACATGAAACAGTTTTCTTTGATTTGGAGATAGTTGGTCATGTTTTGATAATTGAGACAAAAAATGATGCAGTTTAACGTGAGTAGACACTTTTCCACCTCCTCCAGATGATTGTAGCTTCTTTTTCTCAGTTAATTGATTCAACAGTTTTCTCTCCTCGTCTGTAAGCTCATCACTTGGCTTTGATTGTAGTCGTTTCAATGTTTCTTCTTGTGATGTAGATAGTACTTTCAATTTGTCAATAATTTCCTCCTCCTCATCATCATCGTCATGACGATCATCATCAGCATCATGTTTACGTGATTCTTTGGTAAGTTTTAATTCTTCAACTGATTTTCCCCTTTGTTTTGTAATTCTTCTTTGTTTAGTCTTTTTCTGGTGCGGTGGAAGACTACCTTTTCGCAGTTTATCAGCAGCCAGTTCTGAATGTTCCCCTAATTTAGATAAACTTTCATCTTTTTGTTGAGATAATCTTTGTTGTTCTTGTTGTGCTTGACGTTGCTGCAGTAGCTGTTGTTTCGCTCTAATTTCATCGCGTAAAGTAATACTGTCGTCTGTTGCATCTATAGGGATTAATTGTTCATCTGACGGTAAGCTTGTATACGAGGAGAATGCACCAGTTGTTGAAAAAGCATCTAGATTTCCAGAGAATTGAAAGAATAAATCATAATCTGTTGTATCGGTGGATTGTATTTGATTGTAGTAATCTTTTTTGACTTTCATTTCTGATGATTTAACACTTGGATAAGATTTTTTCTTAGGCGCTTGTTCATCTAATTGCTGAGCACTACTAGGTAAGGTTAGCTTTTCTGAAGAATCTCGATGTTTCTTGCTTTCTGAGCGGATTTTGTGTAATTCATCAATTGATTTACGAGGTATGATGTTTTCTGATATCTGATCTGATAATTTTTCTTCTGTAGTAGTGGCTTGAATTTTTTTCACCTCTTTTTCAACATCACTTGTAACTGGAATAAATTCAGTTGACAGTGGCGGTTCGGCGGCGGTGGCGGTCGTGGTCTTTGTGGTAGTGACAGTGGTATGAGAATGCAGTGAATCGGATCCATCCTTTTTCTTTGATTGTTTCGCCCTCACCTTACTAGCTTTAGACGTGGTTGGTAATAAATCGTGCTCTTCTTCTTGGTCTTCTTCTGCACTAGCCTCATGACTCGGCTTCTGACGTTTCATTTTGTCATCCGATTCCAGTCGTTCTTGAGTTTCATGGACTGGAACAGTTGTAGGTGTTTCTTGATCTTGGAGTAAGTTGTCTAATCTAGTTTCCTGTTCTACCTGTGGTTCACCTTCAGTCAAAGATTTGACTCTATCAACATCACTAGTAAATTCACCTTGTTTTACAGTATCTTTGTATGGCACTGTAGAAATCTTTTCAGCATGTGATTCACCTTCCAGAATTGGCTGTTCCAGTAGTTCTTCTTTCTCTTTAACATCTGTCATATCTTTCAGTGAAATCGGTTGTTTATCATCAGTCTGTAGCTTCAACGCCTGATCATCGGCTATCACTGTAGGAGCAGATTCATCGGTTCTTAATTCCCCTGGAGTAAATGTTTGACTATCAGGGAATACTATAGAAATGCCTTGAAGTTCTCGTCTACCGTCTACTTCTCCAGAAACTCTTCGATCCTCCTTTATACTATCAACTTTTCTTAATGAATATCGAAATGGTACTGTTGAAGAAATTGATAGTCTCTGGTGGATATCACGTCGTCGTTCTTCATCTACTGGTAAATTCTCCACTGATTTCCGACTTTCCATACTTTTAAATGATGCTAGAGATAGTCTGGACAATTCAGATACCGCAAATCTTGATTGTTTCATTGAAATCTCTTCTCTATCAGTCGTGTCTATCAGCATAGTTGTATCTGGTTTTGTATACAAGTGATCTGTTGTGTCAATTTCTTCTAGCGGAGATTTTTCATCGTCAATTTGACGCCGACTTGCATCATCTATTAATGTTTGTAAGCAAATTGATCTACGTACAGATTGATGTGGTTGTTCTTTCAGTTTATCAGAATCCCCATGAAGAAATTGAGCAATTATTTGATCTATAGATGTATCAGGTGTAAAAATATGATCTGGTTTTGCATATTTTTTAGAATGATCTCTTTCTTTTAACGTTTTCATTGCTGAAGTTTGTGAAATAGCCAGTTTCAAGAGTTTAGAGGTTGAGAGTGCAATAAACTCGGGGACATCTCTATTAGGTAGTCTTCCGATTTGATGCATTCGTCTGATTGCATTTTCATCAATCCATTTGCCTGCAATATCTTCAAAATTTGCTACAGTATCCATGGGATATCGACCGGTAATAGGTTTCTTACTTGGGTGTTTAGCTCCTCTTCTGAATAATGTGGGCGATAATTTACTTTTGTTGGCGGTAGGAGTGGGAGTGGAGAATCGCCCATCTGATAATCCTGCATAATATGGACTATATCCATCAGCGCATAGATTCTGATAACCTGTGAATTGAAAATTATCAACTGTTTCATTTTGTTCCACTAAAGAGTTGTTAGACAGACGAGGATGTGGTCTACTAGTGTGATGATTTCTATTATTATTATCATTATTGGCATTACTGTTATTACTTTTCAGCCTATAGGTTTGTGGTGGCTGACTCACTGACGAAGAATGCCTTTTATCCCCTTCATCACAACCATACAGCTGATTACATAATTCCTGCGTCGGTGAAGTATTCTTCTGTTCATCAATTGCATTTATATCATTTTGAAGACTTTCACAATATTGATTTTTTAGAGATGCATTACTTGTATAACGACAGTAGTGATCCGTTGACTTCAGATTTTGTAAATTCCAATTTTTTACAAAATGTGATCCTTTTATACTTTTACTATTATCACCATGGTGATTATCATGTAGAGTATGAAATCCTCCTGATGTCTTACTTCCAACCGCGATTGGATTTATTACATCCATGTTGAATACAGACGGATAGAGTCGTTTAGATTTTCGATAGTTTATTGGACTGCCAAATTGGGCGATGTGTTCAACGATTCCCCTGTGAGATGAAATCAAGTCATTACTAGCAGGTTTATGCCTTCCATTGCCATTGGTAATACTGCCTTCCTCTTGATTATTTCTAAGCCATTTATTATTCGAGCCCAGGAATTCTTTACATTCTCTATGTTGAAAGTTGTCATTCGCCTGCTTACCATTATTGTTATGGTTATTGCTCACTTTGAATAGACTAGGTGTCTGTTTTCTCTCTACACCTGATGTCGGATTGATATAACCCTGATTGTAGGGATAATCTTTGTAATCTGAAGGTGTATCATTTATCCTTCTTCTCTGTAAATTTATCTTGAAAGATGAACAGTTAATGAACGGAGTGAATAGTTTTCTATGCACCTGTGTATATGAGACAACTGGTTCAGCCATTTTCAATTTATTCTTCAAGTCAGATTTTGATTGGTCAATAGAATTGATCACCATCATGTTGAAATCTTCTGTGGATTTAAAACTTTGTAATCTATTTTCTACAGCTAACCCATTTACATTATTATTATTGGTGTCATTCAATAAAATACATAATATTATATTATCCTCATCTGTAATATCCACTGGTTTGTATAAAATTAAAGATGCATAGTTAAGAGACATTGAAACATTGAATAATTGGTGTAAATTAAATATTTCAAGGTCACACTGTTCGTTATGACAACATCTATTGAAATCAACATAATTCAACAGTTTTTCAATAACTTTTAGGTAATTATTTCTGGCCACAATATGATTTGAAGATAACTGTTGATCAAGAGTATTCTTATGACTGATGGAATATGAAGATTTTGTTAATTTGCTTTTCATTTCTTCACTCAAAATTGCGTGGATTATATGATCGATTAGCTTGTCAGATTGATTATTACTGATGTGAAGATCTGTTAGGAATGTATTCACCAATAGGAGGCATTGCATTTTATTGATTACCTAAATAGTATAAAAGACAAAGTTAAACAATAGCGTTCCAGGGGATGAGAAAGCACAGGCCAGCGCTTTTGTCTGTTGATATTCACGTGGCTCAGTGAATCGGAAGGTACAACGGACAAAAATAGGCGTATTAGCGCACCAGTCGAGTTCATTACCGTTATTACCGATTAGCAGGCGCAGACATAGCAGTTCGTCACCGCAATCGGACTGCTGGTAAAGCCTTGATTCCAAATCGATGAGGAGTGAATGGGCTTGAGAATCCGAACACGGCAAAGTTCAACAATAGCGTCTCAACCGATGCGAACGCATGAGTGATCTTGTGCCGACCAATCATAAAAATAAGTGATTTTGGCACAAAAAATGAAGTTTATTCACAGGAAAATGCATGAAAACACATTAAACAGGGTATACTTCTACGAAATGATTGAAAAATACGTCCCACTTATAGTGAGGAGCATCAATTTTTAAGTTAGATCAGTTGCTGTACATGTAATCACTAAGGTGAGCTATTTTGACTGGTTTATCGCCCTTATCCTGTTTTCCAGTCTTGCCCCAAAGCCCTAGGTTGAATTATTACGGTTTTCAGTAAGAAGTTAGACGGTTACTACTGACCAGGAAAATGTGAATAATAAAACAAATTAAAATACCTAATAGTAATCCTAACCCTAATTAAAACGTATTGATGTGCATCTTCCTTGATGGTTCAGAAAAGGTCAAATAAAATCTATAAGAACTTATATTTTAACTTATTTGATTGATGATACTGGCCACCAAGTGGACAGAAAATTGTTCTACCCTTTTGTCTCTTCCTTGCTTCGCCAAGATAAATTCTAATCAAACTCCTCCCATCCTTTCTTATTTTCCATCTCCTTCGTACTTTATTGACATTTATTTAAACTCTGATTCAAGTGTTGGTTTTTAGGGATTTGATTGGTTTCAGGATTTCATCATGAGCTGACATCTGTTAGAGAACCATTGAAAGCCAGTCAGGGAGTACTGGACAGCTGTTTCGTTCTAGTTTGGGACTGTTCAACAGTACTCACCCACCGGGATACAAACCCAGGACCTTCCGGATACAAGGCGAGCTCGTATACCATTAAGCCACTTGGACCCGCCTATCCAATGGTCCTTGAATTCTAACTTCTGCCAATTCACGACATAGCGCGACCGCTAGCCAATGTCTTCGGCGAGTATTTGTCCTCACACCCGACCCGCTGCACCCTACTGGACACGACTTCCCACTGGAACTCAGGTAACTACCTACCTGAATGCTATTTCGACTTATATATATATATATATATATATATATATATATATATATAAACAGCGGTTTGATCAATGAATAATTTACCTTGGCTCTTGTGTCATGCCTTCTGTTGTTACAACAGGATTTCACCATCACCTGACACATTGGTTAGACAACCATTGGGAATACTGGAAAACTGTTTCGTCCCAGTGTGAGACTCTTCAACAGTACACATCCACCGGGGTTCGAACGATAGGCAATATTCAAATGCAGGATTCATATGATGGATACTAGACGCTAAGCCCTATTGACTGTTGATGATATGGCTCAGTATTGTTCTCAGTGGAGCAGCGGTTGCATTTACCAATTGCAGTCTCCCACATGCATTAAATCCTTATATTCATCTATGTTACTTCTGAATTTTTCTCCTTTTTCTTTAGTTTTGTGTGCTACATGAAGTGTGGAAACTTGAACTGTCGTACTTCTGTTTAGAGGTACACGTTGAAACTGAGTCATTCATGTCTGAACACTCATCAGTCTGATTATATAAATCTAACGGGAAATCTAAGTTGCAACTAACACCGGTTTCAGCCTTTGTTTTGCAGGGATTTGATTGATTGGTTACAGGATTTCATCATGAGCTGACATTGGTTGGAGAACCATTGGAAAACCTGGGAGTACTAAACAGCTATTTCGACCTAGTTTAGGACTCTTCAACTGTGTGCACCCACCGGGGTTTGAACCCAAGACCTTCTGGTTACAAGGCGAGCTCTTAGATCAGTGTCAGCTCATGATGAAATCCTGTAACTAATACCAGTTTATTTTAGTATTACATTTACATCAGTCATAGGTGAAGTAAGGAGTTTAGAGGCGCGAATATCAGTTGGGTCTACGATAACCAAAATGCAAGGGCATTCAGACATCTAATATCACAGAAGATTGAAAGTAACATCCTAGATTCTGCCTCCGATAGTCATTAGTGGCAGTAAAAAAAATCCTAGCTAAACAACCTGGCTCAAAGAACTGTGTAAATTGAATGTCGAATGTCAGTTGGGTAAATTATTAATAAAGTGTTCTTTGAATCGATACTAGTAATGTGATTATAACTAGTCGAACTCAAGTGCTAGTGTGAATGTGACTGTAATTTACTGATAACCAACACGAAATATCTAACCATTATGCTAGGTCATTCGTTGTTTCTGAATTCAGTATAGGATTTCATCTCTGGGGACACATTTCAATCCATTAGGCATTAGAATATGATGGCATATTGATATGTACCCACATGATGTGTGTTTATTTTTGACAGTCTGTTATATTTTGCTATGTGTAAATGGATCGATATTTCATTATAACTGACAATATGCTTTTGTCTGTTGGTATGTACTGGTCGAGTAATTAATAGTCCTGACGCAAGAAGGCGGAAATCAGAAGACCACCAAGTTCACGATGATACTTGTATTTTTCAAACAAGGAAAAATAATGTCACACAAGTGTATGAGCGAATGTTCAAAAATGAACGAATCAATAGACAGTCTTAACATGATTGGTTGTAATGTCATGTGACAACAAGGTCAGGTATGTTTGTTTAGTTAGTGGACAGACAAAACATATTGTCAATTATAATGGAATATCGATCCATATATACACAGCAAAATATAACAGACTGTCAAAAACAAACACACATATTATGTGGATACATATCATCGTCCACTAACTGAATAAACAATGTATGACCTTGTTATCACATGATATTACAACCAATCATGGTAAGACGTTATCTTATTGGTTCATGTGTATTAGCCATTTTCATATATACTTTGTATTAGACACTTGTACAACATTCGTGTTCACACACTTTTTCGTACACTACGTACCATTTCACTCACACTCCTGCGTGACATTTATTTTCCTTGTCTGGAAAATACAAGTATCATCGTAAACCTGGTGATCTTCTGATTTCCATCTTTCCGCGTCAGGACTATTAACTACTCGACGAGTACATAACATAATTGGCGACGGGGAAAACTCTAATAACTCACTCAACAGCAGTACATAACACATATAAAGTACAGCCTTTTCTAGTTCTCCGTATTATTATTATTTTCCTTCATGTTCCCAGTGGAACATAGGGCCTCAAGCTAAGGGCTTGAAGCTTCTGTAGCAGTGTTTATTTTTACAGGATGGGGTTGCTAGCCTCAATCACAACCTTCCCTCTTTACCAGTTCTATTACTGGCTTAGTGAGGTAAAGGAGTGCGTCAGCCGAGGATCGAACCCCAGACCATGTGCATGGTTGGCGAGCGTCCTAACCGCTGTGCCACCAACGCATCTCCCTATAGTATAAGGGAAAAAAATTCCCTTGAGTGATTTCATAAATTACCGACTTTTAGATTATAATGGATACCCAGAACGTTTTGTGGAGAAGAACATGAAACAAAAGCCAAAAAGAGAAGATAACACTTTGCTACCGAAGAAAATGCTGTATTTGAATCTGTACTGTAGGGGAGACACAGCAAAAGATATCCTTAAGAGGAAAATCTCTAGCTCCCTAAATAAAAAACCTTTCCTGTGGCAACTCTAGGAGCAATATCCTATTGCCGCTCACTTCCAAGAAGCAGTGTGAAGGACAACCCTCCCTAACCACTCCAATGTGCATATATGAATTCACATGCTCATCCGCAGCTCCGCACATAGGTCGTTCTCAGTGGGTCATTTCAGAACGTGTTAGAGAACATTACCCAGAGTAGCTGCAAAGAAGAAGCACTGCTTCAAACAGGAGTGCCATAACTGAACACCTCACCAACACACCTGTCACAGCACCTCAACTAACTCATCATTTAGAGTCATTTACAAAGTAAGCAAACATCTGCCAGAGGCAGTGTGCTTCCAACTTTGCACTACAGGAGCTAAGTGTTCAAAATGAACTAGTCCAACATCTGCATTTACCATAGATCTAGTTCGCTTCGATTATTCCGTTTTCGATATTTTTGTCTTTCATTCCCTACATTTTTTTTAACCTCACTTGTGAACAAACTATTATCTCATTTTGTTTCTATACTCTCCTGCCTTACTTCTATATACGATAAAAAAAAAGCTTTCACATTTAGCGAAACTGTTTTCCAGTCCTGTGTAATTTTGTTTCTAAGCCCTTTGTAATTTATATTCACAACTTCAAACTTTCTTATTAAGTTGAAAATTGTTATCATCTGTAATCTTCTTCGTTATTTTGTAGAATTAAATAGTAATTATATCTATGTAAGCATGTGTATATGAGTTCGATTTTACAGTCTTTGTGGAAAGATATCTTTGCTAGATCTCTAGTTCTTTTCTCTCTCATGTTCTGATGGATATTTCCACAAATCTAGTGGTTGATAGTGTGTTAAAAACAATTGAAAATTAAAGAGAAATAAATTTCTATTTTCACGTAGTTAATATCTCAAAAAGCAACGCATGTATGCATTTCTGCATGCGATATTGGCTTGTGTTCACATACCCATATGGTCGAAAGCTACTGGTACAAATGCTATACCTTAACCTAGTCAGTAAATGAGTACAGTGACCAGGGAGGGGGGTACATTAGGTTAGATGTGAGGAGAAATACTTGCCAACGACGATATTGGCTAGTGCCAGTCACACTATATAGTGTGTAAATCGGTAGAAGTTGGAATTGATGGACTGACTGGCCATCGGATTGACGGATTCCAGTGAATAGCTTAATGGTCTACTAGCTAGCTCCTAAGG